TGAGTAAACAATTTAGTTACATTTGTAATTTCATTTATAAATAATGTGAAAGAAGTACACAAACAACTAATATAAAGCAGAACTCTAGGCAGAGAGGTTTGTGAACTTGGTGTGGAGAAAAAAAAAAGAAAAAGAAGAACTTTAATCATGTTCATTGCACATGCAGATTGCTGCTCTGAATCTAACTTTTATTAATTCTTCAAAAAACAACCATCCCTGTGCTTTCTGCCCGCTGCGACCATGAGAGCCACGGCTCACGCTAGCGTTGTTTATACAAACAACTCTATATAAACAGTGTAGCCTTAAAAATTCAATTGTATGTCTATAAACAAATTATCTTACACATGTGCATAATGCCAACGTTTAAAAGCTCATAAAACCATCTATTGTTCTCCCCGCACCATCGTTTTCATTCCCCACAAGTGTTACAATATCAAGAGACCTCTTCTATCTGGACTTGCGTGATAATGTCACCAGAAGCTCCGTCTTATGCGTTACATCTTTGCCACTTCCTCGGTTAATATCGGAACATGTGTGAGGAATGCGAACGAAGGTGCGGAGAAAACGATAGATGGATTTATGAGCTTTTAAACTTTGGCCTTGTGCAATTGTGCACAGAGGAAGTGTTTTTAAAATAAAATTTGTTTTCTGGATCACACTGTGGTTGTATACCTTTCTTTAACCTACTGCATTACGTAGATGTGATGGTAGAAGGAGGAAAGTGTATCCATGGATGCTATCAAGAGGTTTAGAATCTGTGTTTTTTTTTAAATTAAAATTATTACTACTACTACTACTACTACTACTACGGTACTATACAGGCTTTATATTAGGGATGCACCGATACCAATACTAGTATTGGTGCCGATGCCGAGTATTTGAGGGAGTACTCATACTCGCCCAAATGCTCCGATGCCTAGCCTGATACTTCCGGTATCAGGAAGACGGGCAGCGACTCATTACACGCTGCCCGGCTTCCTGATTGTCCAGGAAGTGGTGGGCAGTCATGCAAAGCACCTACAACAAGACATTTCTGCTAAAAGGAGAAATACCAGCTCCTGAGTACAAGGTTATACTTACTTTTTTCATAGTACACCATTACATATATTTATACTTTGATGAATAAATGATTGAAAAGGAAACATTTTTGTTTTTTATTCACGTATATTACATTTATCTGTAGGAACTGTTTGATTGAAGATCTAATGCTAGTTGGTTGCCATGCACAGCGGCTCTAGATTTTCTCTGCTCCAGTTTTGATAAATTCCCATCTGTATTTGTCTTGCCCCTAAAGTTTGTGCACAAATTCCAACAAGGAAGGCCACCTATCCTGCAGTGCTAAGTGTGGGTTTCAAACACCGTGGCCTTCAGCCCCCTGTTAGATGAACATGGTTTCCTGTGTGTATTGAAGTTACCCTGTAGTTTTTGTTCAAGCTGCATCAAAAAATCAAAATAGAGAAGTACAAAAATAATCCTTAAACGTGAGTTGCACATGACAAAGTAAATAACTTTTACTATACATTATAAATATTTTATTTCATGCACAAACCAGCAGTAAAGAATTATCTGAGAATGATCATGTTGACTGCAAATTTAGAATTTAGACAACATGGATAAGTGTTGATAGTACACACCAAAGGTGTTTTAAATCCCATTCAGGACATCACACATTGTATATTTTACAATATTTTGTTAATGATATGTACACAGCTATTGTAAACTGTCAACGTGGTCACATTGAGCCATTGCTGTAGTGCGCCCGCACCACAAGCACTTTTGACAGTAGTCTGTTGAACCTGGAATATGCCCGTTTATGGTGCTGGATTACAGGCCGTGCTGTGTCTCACAGAAAGTCTGATGTAAATAAATTATTATATCTGATCTAAGATGTTTCCTACAGTCACCAATCAGATTGAAACTAGCCTTTTAAAGGGGACACTAAACTCAGGCATTATATCTTAGAAATACATTCAAGTACCCAAACTATTAACCAAAATGTAGCTTATGTGTGCATCACTCAGCTGTAGATCCTGTGTGCTGACACTGAGCTTCCTTCTGGAGGGTGGCTACTTTTGTTCCCCATGGTCCCTGTGTGTGTTGTAAAGTAGACACTGCTCCAAGATCACTCCAATGATGGACTACAATCTCAGTACCAATTAGTAAACTAAATGCGAGATTGTAGTCCATCCCGGGAGCAAGCTTGGAGCGGTGTCTACAACATACAGGGGAAAAAAAAGTAGACAAAAAGGACAGTGTCAGCACCGATTCAGAGATGATTTGAGGCTATACAGCCGAGTGATACACGAATAAGATACATTTTTGTTAATAGCTAGGATACTTGAATGCATTTTGAAGATTTAACTCCTGAGTTTATTGTCACTAAGTTTAAATGTGATTGGCAATGCAGGAAGCAAAGAGCAAGCTTCAGGAAATATACTTCTACTGCCCTCCTACCAACCTTGTGAGGTGGCCTGTCCACTGGATTACATAGAACTGAGATTACAGTAAATTGAGTGAATTTTGTAACCTTTGTGACTTTAGCATTACTGTAGTTTGTTAAATCGCATTAGTTGCTCACCAAATGGTATTGCTTTTTGCCCCCAAAAAAGAAAAGGATATGAGCAAGAAACACAAAACAGTTGTTTTAAACAAGATAAAACAATGCTTTATTATTACAATGTAACATAATTATTAGGAGTGGAGAAACAAAAGCCCATTACTCAGGTCATACGGTTTTGTCGGAGTTTCCACCTGTAAACAACTTTGGAATTAGTGACCTATCCTGCAACATTAAAAGTCAGCCTAGAACAGTAAACAAACTTGTGTCATAACCGTACCATAATTATCAACACCGCTTCATAAAATGAATGGGCATCATGCACGTTAGCCATGTATGCATTGCTGCAACGTACTAGTATAAACAGACCGTAGGGATACAGGAACCAGCAATTTCACAATAGGGATCTATGAATTCAGAGAATGGAGAAAAGTGTCACTTTATTATACCTCTAAATTCCAGTCTTAAAAAGGTGCCCATACACCTTACAATTATCTGCAGATTTTCTGTGGTCAGATGGAAAAAGTGCAAAAGATTGGCCCAGGTGGAGATTACCCCATTTACACAGTTAAGTGTAGATGGAGGAATCTGTTGCACCTTTTCCATCTGACCACAAAAAATCTGCAGATAATTGTAAGGTGTATGGCCAGCTTTAGGATAGTTTCATCCTGGACTTGACCGTTAAATAAATAAAAAAAAACAATCCATGCCATACTTAAGGCCGTGACACACTGCACGCAAAGCCGTGCAGAGCGAAGCAAAGCTATCCGGCACGGAGCTTTGCGTGCAGTGTGTGAGCTGAGTGCAGTCAGATGATTGACAGCACCTTCAGCCAATCGGCTCGTCCGTAACAACCTGCCAGCTGTCGCATCGCATGGTTTATACGCGCAAGCCGATTGGCTGAAGTTGAAATTGTTCATCTCGGCACGCTCAGCTCCGCGAGCTCTCGCAAGCTGAGGTGCCGAGCAGAAAATTACATGACACACTGTTCGCAAAGGCAGCGCGCCCCCGCTCCGCGCTGCTTCGCGTGCAGTGTGTCACGGCCTTTAGAATGTAAGATATTCACTATGTCTGAGTTTCCCAAATATTTCCCCAAAGTACCATCATGTTTTCTAGGCTTCTAGTTAACCGCACACATTTAACAATTTGTGTTATTCCAAGAACCACAATAATATTTCCAAGAGTGCTTCTGAGAAAGCAGCAGAAAAACATATCCTGGCAATGGTGCTTGATGAGAGAATCGTGAAATAATACAATACATGCGAGTACACCTGACAGAAGCATTTAAGGTTTGGCCATCAAAGATAGGGTACCACAGATGTTCGTTAATATGTAAAGGAACTACATGCATCACCTAAAAGTAGTTTATGTATTTTCACCATTTACTGAAAACACTACCTGCTGATGACACCTACTGTCCCCACAAAGATAACGAACAATAGGTGACCTCTTAACAATGAGAGCAACCCCTTTGTGAGTCACATTAATGTGTACATACCATTATAGGTTATATATACTCAAAATTGAATAATTCTTTAACATGTTTAAGTATATGCCAGCTAGGGTGCCTGCAGGTTCAGATCTAAAGAGACCCTGTACCAAGCATTACTAAAAGTAGAACATGCCAGGCAAACTCCCTGCATAAAATACCCATTTCACTCTGCATTGAAAATAGATATGCACTGATACAGATACCAGTTTCTGTGCCGATACTGGGCATTTTTAAGAGTACTCGTAAAAAAATCCCCCAATACCAAAAACTGATACTGGCGCTTTCATTTTTCAAAATAAAGCAGCTGCCTGGGGTCCCGCGCTTGCTGGGGACGCACATCGGCTGGCGCCCGTATACAGCACTTCTGCTGGCCCACACATTCCCCCCTGCTGAAACTTTCACGCACCTCCCCTTCTTGACACCCTCTGCCCAAGATATCAGGCCAGCAACTTGGTGCAGAGCATGTAGCAAATTCACATACTCTTCTGCATTGCTGTATAATGTATTGCTGGAATTTGTAGACCTCTGTAGCTGGTGGTATTCTGCATTGCTATGTAATGTATTGCTGAGACTTGTAGTCCCTCCCAGCAATACATTATAGAGCACCATGTGGGGTAAAGTGCAGGCTTCCAGCAACTCGCTTCTGAGATCAGGCCTGTCTATCGGCGGCTGTCATCCCCCCACACCTGCTCCTCCTTACTTCTCCCTGCGTCCCTGTGCCGATCGTGGATGTGGGCAGGCGGGGAGGAGGTGCGGAGTGTGGATCGTGGATGCGGGCGGGGGGGTCTGGCAGCGCCGAGCGTGAGGTGGGGAGGAGGTGCGGTGCGCAGCGTGTGTGGAGCTGTGAACAGGGCCAACTAATTGGAAGCCGATTAATCGATGATTGAAAAAGTTGACAACTTTTTCAATAATCGATTATGTCGATTAGTTGTTGCAGCCCTACACAGATACAACAATAAAATATTACAGGGAGACTACAAAGTCCTTTACTTTGTTCATGAGGCTCTGACTAACTACAGGATTATCTTCAAAATCCTCATCAACCTCTAAAATCAGAACTGGAATGTTACTGATATTTGCGAAAGGAACGTCTGTGTTCTTATTTATTAGCCACCCTTCATGCTGGTCATGCAACTTTTCAAGATACTGTTGGGTAACAGTCTCTTCTTCCTTTCTTGCCCTTTTCTGAAGCCTCTCAAAGCATTTCACTGGCGTTGCACGGAGATATAAAATCCCATCCAAAGCAGCTCTCTCCCCGAACTCCTGAAGTAAAAATGTGTGCCATTCTTGATACATGCTCCATTCCATGTCATTCAAATGGCTGAGTTCAAAGAGAGTTTTGGCAAATACAAACCTATCACTATATACAGACCTTTCAAATATTCGCACAGGTTCTTGCTGGTTCAGTAGCTGTTCCGAAAACGGATCGATCTGGGTTTTAAAACGAGTCATACAAGAGAGCGTCTGGAAGGTATAAGACCATCGAGCTGGATTGTCGTACAGCAGTTGGAGCAAATTTTCCATCCCATGACTGGATGAAGAATGGACATGCTGCCACTTCTTCAGAGGTTCTCCCACAAAACTCCATTCTTGATATGCGTTGGCTAATATTCTCAAGAAGCTTGACTTTCCAACAGCAATATTCCCTTCCACGGACAGTTTCTTGACTTTCACCCCTTTCCTGGAGATGTAAGTGGCACACTGTGGCTTCACAGATTTCTTAGACATGGCACTTCTGTGTTCATTTCCTTCCTTTTGAATAAATGTACAAAATAAACTGGTCTCTGGTTTCCGTAAATTACACTGTGTTTTTGTTGTATCCAATAATACTCGGATTTTGCTAATAAACATCTGTTGACACAGAAAAAGATTTACAAGACATACGCAGGCATAAATAAATAATTGCATTAAATTTGCTACATTCATAAAAAAGGTCCCACATTGTCAAAAGATCCAAAATGTAAAAGCCTAACTCCAGCCAAAGCTTTTTAGTTTGTTTTTGAGGAAAGCAGAGAAGGGTTAGAAACTCTGTCAAGTTTTTATAGCAGTCTCTGTCCCTACTGGGGAGATGCGCACACTTCCTGTCTGAGAATGTGGTATGACATCTCTCCAAATAGTCCAGACAAAAGCAAAATACATTTTTCCATTACTATAAATCAGTAAGAATTGACTGGACTTCTTCTCAATGATCACCTATCTATGGTGTATGAGGGCTTCTTCCCACTGACCACCAATGTAAAGGAGCAGTTGAGTTTTTACCACTGACCACCAATTTAAAAAGGGGGGAGGGTTTCCCTAGCAAGCAGTAGATATATGCAAAAAGTTAACAAAAACAAAACAAAAAAACCTCTTTAACCACTTGCTGACCGGGGTGTTTATACCCCCTTCCTGGCCAGGCCATTTTTCAGTATTCAGCGCTGCACTACTTTGACTGACATTTATTCCGTCATGCAGCGCTGTACTGAAATTAATTTTATACCATTTTTTGGGGGACAGATAGAGCTTTCTTTTGCGGGTATTTAATCACCACTACGGGGTTTTTTTTTTACTATACAGATGTTCCTCGCTTACCGACTTACCTGTTTTGCGACCAATCACACTTACGACGGACCGCCGATCGACCTCCGACCTTGCGCGTCAGCGTCAGTGCGCCGTGTCCTCCGATCTTCACTGCGGGTCCCGGTAAGTATTTTCATTGCCCGATGTACACACTGTTCGGTACTGTACATCGGCAACGCTATACAGTACTGTACTAATGCAGTACAGTACTGTATAGCGTAGGGCAGGCCTCAAAATTTCCACTCGCCCCCTCGCAATTGGCGAGTGAAAACTGCGTGGGGGCGAGTGGAAACTCATCGAGGAGCGCCGCCGTCGGGACCAGAGATGGGACATTACCGACGCGGCGATTGCTTACTTCTGTTCTCTCTTCTCATCTGACGCTGTAGCTACAGAGCGGCCGACAAGGAGAAGAGAGGACACAAGCGAACGATCGCCGTGGCGCTCCTCGATGACATCCGCTGTCTTCTGCAGCTTCCTCCGCCCACCTCAGCTGCCAGTCTGGGAGGAAGATTGCAGAGACAGTGAGACCGGCCAGCCAGAAAGTTATGCAGCAGGGGGAAAAGGATACATGGACGATCTCTGCACCGCCCCCCCTCCCACCACCACCACCAGCAGGAGAGAGAAGAGGCAAATGAATACCAGCTAAGTGCACTGTAAGTCCCTTTTCTTTCTTCCTTACACTGTGCGTCACACTGACCCTGCACTGTGCATCACACTGACCTCCATGCTGTGCGTCACTGACCTCCATGCTGTGCGTCACTGACCTCCATGCTGTGCGTCACTGACCTCTGCGCGGCGTGCGTCATCTGATGTGTGCGTCACTCTGACCTCTGCGCGGTGTGCGTCACGCTGACCTGTGGGTCACGCTGACCTCTGCGCTGTGCGTTACATTACTGACCTGGCGGAGTTAAGTCCGTGGCAGGGTAGGGGTTAGGTGGGGCAACTGGTGGCGAGTAACTTTTAGGCCTGGCTAGTAGCTCAGGACTTGAAATTTTGAGCCCTGACATAGGGGACTAACAATCACCCTATGTGATAGTACAGGCACACTGACAGGTCCTCTTTATGGAGACATTAGGGGTATGCAAGACCCCTAATGTCACCTGGGGGCCCCCAAAGAAGCTGATGAAGCACAGATCTGCTTCACCAGCTTCTTCTTTGGCTATAGCGGCCAGAGAATTGACAGCTGAATGCGGAAACAAAGTAATACACATCAGTTCCGCATTCAGACCTCAGACACCCGCAGAGGGGACAGCGGACCCCGGATGGAAAGTGAGGAGGGGGGCAGCGCTGCACACAGTGCAGGGCAGCACATACAAGCGATCGGACAGCTATAGAGCCGCCAATCGCTTGTAAGGCCTGGTTCACACCTGAACGTTTTGTAGCGCGTTCAACGCTCGACGAACGCTCTACAAAACGCTCAAACATATAAATCCCATTGTATTCAATGGGTCTGGTTCACACCTCGGCGTATTTCCGCCCGTCCGAACGCAATACAAAAGGGCCTATGCCCAAAGAAGTACATGTACTTCTTTGGGGCGTTTTGGTCTCGCGTTTCCATTGGGATACAGGCAAGTAGCCCACGGAAACGCGCGTTTGTCGCGCGTTTTTTTTTTTACAGCGAATCGTGGTAAAAACGTGCGACGTGAACCGCCCGACAAACGCGCATATTCAATACGCCTAGGTGTGAACCCAGCCTATGTGTAACAGCCATTACCGGCTGTTTACATCTTGCAGTTTTTTCTGCTCGTGAACTAGTGGGCAGGAAAAAAAAAGCAGTGTATTTACAGTGCCCCGCTCATAGGAGCTCGCCGTCCGTCCGTTTTTTTACAACGGGTAGACAGCAAGTGGTTAAGGATCCTTGAACCATCATGTCCAATACACTGTATAGGACGTGAGGATGCCAAGGGACATACCATCGTTGCAGCGTAGGAAGAGAAAGGCTGGAGGAAGCGCTGTCACAGCTGGCCAACTTGGAGCTTCAGGCAAGTATTACTTTTTTTTTTTTAAAGAAAAACAAATAGTTAACCATTGCAGTGCAGGGGTACCCCTACTGCAAGTGTTAATACACATTTTACCTTGAGTTTTACCGCAGCGCTGAATACTGAAAAATGGCCTGGATGGGAAGGGGGTTTAACACCGCGGATGTCAACTGGTTAAGGAGACACTGACAACAACAAAAACCTAAAAGGTGCTAATCCCTCACTAGTATATCCAAATCCAAAAAAACAAGTCAAGTTTTAATCGGCTTGGTTTGGAAAAGTATCACTTTAATAAATACATCATCATCTATCTTGTTGCAGACGTGCCCTTTTATTCTCTGAATACAGTACCTTTCCACAAACTCCTCCGTGCCGCCGGGTCACATCTCATCAATATCAGCGTGTAGCATTTCTCCTCTGTATACGCACCACGTCTGTGTCTTCACTCATTCTCTTCCTGGTTCCTCCTACAATGCAGTCACATGATTGCTCCTCAACCAATCGTTGCTCGCTGTGGGGAGAGCTTCTTGTATAATACACATTTAAAACCAACTTTATTGCAAACTAAAATACACTTACAAATATCTAGTAGACCATACTTGAAGCCTAATAAAGTACATCTCCAGTGTCAATGTGCCGTCAGCCGGCTTGCTACTGAAAAGTGGATGACGTCATAAACAGAAAAGTTCTGTTTCAATGAGATGTTCTGTTGCAGAATAATATACACTAGCCCGACAGAGCCCTGTAGCCATTAGCAGTACTTCACCTCAATATTTCATATATAAAACACACTTGAGGTGGAGATTAAATAATGAGACATGGGGTTGCATTGGTTAAAAATTATGGTTTCTACACCAATGCAGATTTTTATGTTTGTGATTTGAAATGTTTTTAATGAGAAAATGATCATGTTATAAAATAAGGAACACAATTAAAAAGGTAAATTACAAATAAAAGTGGATTAGTAAATTAACCATTTTTTTTTCCTGAAGGTAATTTAACCACTTGCTGCCCAGAGTAATTTCGTACTATTTGCGCACACGTGAGAAAATCAGAATTTTTGGCTAGAAAACAGCTCCAGACCCCCAAACGATGATATATTTTCTGAAAGCAGAGGCCCTGTAGAATAAAAAGATGCTAGTTGCAATTTGTTATGTTGCGCAAATGTTTATCAAACCAGTATTTTTAGGATAACATACACCTAAATGAAATTTAGTGCACAGAAACAGAATATAATACCCATTTTTTTCGGTAAAATATGGGGTCTCCGCCGCGCGCTCCCGTCCAAACATCTGGAAATTTCTCGGGTGGCCGCAACGGATCTTGGGGCGGGAGCGGGCTCATAATTCAGTTGTACGGCCGGGAGACGAGGAGAGACACAAGGTAAGTCTATAGAGCAGCGTGCACACGTACAGACACCATGGGAAATGAGAGAAGAGGAGGACAGAGGAGTCAGCGCTGGATCAGGGACCCGCAGCAGCGCTGGAGGGACAGCTAAGGACTACAGGGAAGAAGAAGAAGTGTCATTTTCAGGCCTAAAATGTGTAATATAACATGGGTGCAAAAAATGAAAAAAGGGCCTCAGTCATGAAGGGGTTAAGAGGCATCATTTAACCTGTTGCCGTCCGCCCGTTGCAAAAAAACGGACGGCGGACTCGCATTTGCGGGTTGCCGTCACCAGACGGCATTTTTTTTTCTGCTTTTTGGCAGAAAAAGCCAGTTTAATGCAAAGAGCCGTTACCGGCTGTTTCACATACACACGATCGGCGGCTCTATAGGCAGCTCTATAGCCTATCGATCGCGTGTATGTGCTGGTCCTGATCCTGATTTAATAGTCTGTGCTCATTTGGTTTCTCCTAAGCACTATGTTATCATCTGCATCTGCCTGCGGCTGGGTGTAACCTTGCCTCGTATGTTATGAATGTCTGTGTATCACTAGCCAATCATTAGGAGGTTCATGGTCAGTGGTGGGGCTTGCTGGGAGAGTACATAAATATTCAGTGCTGATTATGTGACAGCCTCTTTCTCCCCCTGGGCTCCTGCCTGGGGCAGGGTGCTGTGAATTGTCTGTCCTGTCTAGGCCTGTGGCCTAGGAAGGAAAGCCATGTGCTCACACTGAGGCCTGGAGCCTAGTGAGTGAAGCTGAGGATGGAAATAACAGAGAACAACTTCACCAGGTGTGGGGAGCCTGAGAAGTGACTCTCTGTGGCAGCATGGTGATCTACTCTGAAATGGAGCTTTTGTATCAAGTACTGCATAGCCAGGAGCTCAAAACACAGATTGCCGCAATCAGATTAAAAGTTCTCTATCTGTGAAGGCTGCAAGTACTTTG